ATTGATATTTAGAGACAATTTTACGGGTGTGTTTGTTAAAAGTAAACACTTTTATTAGTACGGGTTCCAGTTTACTTTTATTAGTACTACCCCACGCAATGTTCGCATAGTTTATGTGACAATAAATGAGCGAATAATATAGTTTAAGTAATGTATGTTTATTTAAAAAACTCCTTGCTTTGTACAAAATTCCTATGCTTTTTGATATTTTACTACTTAAATTTTTTATGTGACTTTTCCATGACAAATTTCCATCAATATAAATACCAAGACAGTTTGTAACTGTTAATTTTTTTAGAAGTATATTATCAATAAAAAGCATTGGCATCTCATTTAGTATAAGATTTTTTTTGTGATTTGGATGGAAAAAAATCCATTTCGTTTTATCGATATTAAGAGACAGTTTATTTGCTTTAAAACAATCCGAAGCTCTTACTAGTTCATTATTGATATTTTGAAATAACAATGTAATATCATTATGAGATAAAAATAAGTTCGTGTCATCTGCAAACATTATTGTCATTAAATTTGAGGCTTTATGGAGATCGTTGATGTAAATAAGAAAAAGAAGAGGCCCTAATATTGATCCCTATATATATATATATATATATATATATATATATATATATATATATATATATATATATATATATATATATATATATATATATAATCTTTAAAAGTCATTTCTTGTTATACGATATATATATATATATATATATATATATATATATATATATATGTATATATATATATATATATATATATATATATATATATATATATATATATATATATATATATACAGGCCCGCCCAGAGCACTTGTGATGCCCAGGTCCAAATGTTTAATGGATGCCCAATTATACTTCTTAAAATGACAAATACTAAATAAATTAGTATAGTTATTTTTTGTTTACTTTCATAGAAATTCAAATTTAATTAGTTTTGGTTTTTAAAAGCAAACTATGTAAAATTAAGTCCTAATATTAAACACATCTTCCGGGCCTTCTTAGCGGCAAAAATAATTTCTTCCTAAGAAATGTTATTGGCTAAATCTGATTTAATTGAAAGGATCAATCAAGTAGCAATATCGCTTCTGATCCATTGTGGAACGAATATAACCTTTGATGATAGCTAACTTGCTGAAAGATCTTTCACCTTCAGATATTGAAACGGGTAATGTTTGATTCTAAGTGAAACACACGTTCGTGGAAATATTAAATGCAACCCCTTTACATAAACTTCATTTAGAAGTTCGACAGGCTTTTTGCTGGCTAGAATATTTCTTCTTACGGAAAAAAACCTTCATTAAAAAATTCGTTTTCTAAATAAGTCTTCTGGGTAACGTTTAGCCAGATTCTTAGCTTTTAAACCTAGTTGTTTGTCTATTTAAGATTTCTGTGAAGACCAAAATGAGAAAAACTTGTTACATTCCTCCTTCATTACTTTAAATCTTGATCTCATTTGACTAATGAGATTGTCGAGAGCAACATTGAAGACAATACACTCAAAGTTTTTTGATGATTCTTCGTGGTAGTAACCAGCAGTTTTATCAAGGAAGACCTTCTTTTTTTGCGTTCTCTTTGCAGAAAACATAATTTCATTAAATTTCAAGTTCTTTGCAACTTCTGTTGCCTATATCAGGTATAATAAATCCCAAGACAAACGGATTTAATCCAGATCTGTCAAAAGGCCATTTAGAATCTTTACTTCATCATCAAGAGTGAGTTAAGTAAAGACTCACGTTGTTAACTACATTTAAAGATTTATACCAAGAAATAATGAAAACAAAAAATTCAAAAGAATTCATCCATTAAGTTAGATAATACACTTCATTACTACTTTCACCTGGAAGGTTTAACTCTTTCGGACGATAAAATGATTTTAAGATCTTTCTTGGTTTTTTGCTAGTGGCTTCACTGCTTCAATTCTTGAGATACATTGTGTAACTGAAATTTTATGTAATTATTGGTCTGTCTCCTCCTGAAGAAGTTTTCAACTAACTGGGCTGCAGCTGAACAGATTTTGAGTATTTCAAAAATAGGATTTTGCAGAAGCCGATAATTCAATAGCGTGTACTGCACATAAGTTCAAACTGTGAGCAGAACAAGGAATGAAAAATACTTGTAGATTATTCTGTCTAATCAAAACTTGAACTCGATTGTAAATACCTGCTATATTAGCGCCAATGTCGTAGCCTTGCTTAGCAATAAGCTCAAAGAAGTTTCCATTCCCATTTTTGAACAATTTTTGATTGAATTCTAATTGCAAATAAAAAATTATCCATATTTATATCCAATCATAAATTTTAATTTTAACTTTTAAATTATAAATAAAATAATGCAATATATAAATTAAAATTTAAAAACAATATTCTTACTTTTAAAAGCTAAATTTATTGAAGCCAGAAAAATTGTGACATAAAGAATGCATTATAAAATTACTTTCCATCAATTTGTTTCATCTCCGATTTTGTTTCATGTCCAAAAGAACTTTTACATGCTGTTAAATAAGAAAATAATCTTTACTTTATTATGCAAACAAAAGGCCAATGAAAACGTGAGTGTTCAAATGGAAAATGAAAACTTTGTAAAGTAATAATTATCCTATTTTAAATGTGAACAAAGTTTTAACGGAAAACGAAATTTATACACAAAAATTGCTTAAGCTTTAAATATGTTATCAGCTGAATTTTTTATCATTAAAATAATTTTTTTTTTAGGTATATGTGATGCCCCATAGACTGTGATGCCCGGGGCAAACTACTTCAATTGCCCCTCCCTCTTGGCGGCCCTGTATATGTATATACTAGGTTGGTTGAAAAGTTCGCGGAGCGGCACCTATGTTGCAGTAGTAGAAACAAATTTATAACTGTATTAAACGTATTCATTCTTCGTATGAACGCATAAAAAATTTCAAGTCGATATGTCATTTCAGTCTTTGTTTACAAGCTATTGAAATTAGACGTGTCATAGTATTTTTTAAAATGGAAAATATTGAACATCGTGCTGTAATAAAATTCTTTGTGAAAAAAGGTTTAAAGCCCATGGAAATTCATAATGAAATGGTAAATGTGTTGGGTGATGATGCTCCTTCAAAAACAACAGTATGCAAATGGGCTGCGGAGTTTCAACGTGGGCGTTCAAGCCTTGAAGATGACCCTCGCTCTGGACGTCCAAAAAGTGCTACTACTGAAGAAACGATTAATGCTGTGCATGACATGGTTATGGATGATAGACGATTGACCAAACGTGAAATTGCTGAGGCTGTGGGCATCTCAGATGAACGGGTATTACACATCTTGCACGATGAATTACGTCTGAGAAAGCTGTTGGCAAGATGGGTGCCGCATTCGCTAACTCTGGATCAGAAACGCACTCGAGTAAAACTTTCTCAAGAACATTTGGCCCGTTTTCAAAAGAATAAAACAGATTTTGTGCGTCGATTCGTAACCATGGATGAGACTTGGGTTTACCACTATGATCCGAAGCTGCGACAACAAACTGCAGAGTGGACAGAACCCGGTTGTTCAGCTCCGAAGCAAGTGAAGGCGTCAAAATCGTCAAAGAAGGTTATGGCATCAGTTTTTTGGGATGCGAAAGGAATTTTATTAATAGATTACCTTCAAACCGGTAAAACGATAACAGGTGAATATTATAAAAATCTTTTGGACCAGTTGGATAAAAAAATTCGTGAGAAAAGATCTGTTTTGCTGCATAAAAAAATCATTTATCACCAGGACAACGCACCTGCTCATATCAGCGATGTTGCAAAGGCGAAATTGGTCGAATTAAAGTACGAACGCTTGGAACATCCACCCTATTCACCAGATCTGGCTCCGTCCGACTTCCACCTCTTTCCACATCTCAAAAAATTTCTGCGTGGAAAGCGTTTCTCATCACATGAAGAAGTCATTGCAGCCGTAAATGGGTATTTTGAAGGCCTTCCGGAATCGCACTTCAGAGATGGGATACATGAATTGGAGAATCGTTGGAAAAAGTGTATTGCTCTTAAGGGAGAATATACTGAAGAATAAAGTCATTTTTTGAATCATAAAATTGTTTTTTCATTTCCGCTCCGCGAACTTTTCAACCAACCTAGTATATATATATATATATATATATATATATATATATATATATATATATATATATATATATATATATATATATATATATATATATATATATAATGTGTAAATTGATTTTAATAAAAAGGCAGCATATAATTATTTTTAAATATATTTTGATGTAAAAATATAATAACGATATTTCGCTGACCTATTGTGGTCAGCGTCATCAGGTAATAATAAAACGTTACAAAATAACATAAAACAAACCGTTTAAAAAGAAGACATTAAAAAGCGTCAAATGTAAAAACCAGTTAAATAATATAATAATGACGTCAGTTAAATTTTTGTCAAAATGGGTCCCAAGTTCGTGCTTTAACCTTATCCCCGTCATCTCGATTTGCAACACCTTCCCCAATACCTATCTCATATCAAACTTTCCCGTTGTGCACATCACTGTTGATTCAACGTTGATTGAGTGTTTCCGAGCAGTGTTGATTCACCGTTGACTGAGTGCAGAGTTTTGTTAACATTTGCAACGGTGTTTTACAGTTGCTCAATCAACGATGAATCACTGATGCTTTGTAATTGTTAACTTTACGTTGATTGAATGCTTTTAAGAAGTGTTGATCAGCCGTTAACTGACTGCGGAGTTTCGTTAACATTTGCAACGGTGCATTAAGGATTTTTTACCGTCGATATTATTTAATTAGTACTATTTTGTTAAATATCTTTAGTATTAATTCCAATGAATAAGAACTAAATTTTATTTGTAATTTATCTTAAAAGAACACCCTAATAAAAATGCCTAATAGACCCTTGATGATTTTCAAAAATTAATTACACTATTAATTAACACTATTTCCTCCGTTTCTATTTATCTAGTAAATAATTAGTAACAGAAAAAATATTAAATTAACAAGCAAAATATTTTCTGCATTTTCAAATTTTTTTCAATCAAAACGATGTTATTTTATTGTTATTCTGTCATTTGACGTTTAAACAGTGTGCCATGCATACGTAGCCACTTTCCTATTGCGGTTGTTATATCGCTATCTTTCGCTGATTCGTCTTGTAATTTGATGGCATCTTAAAAAAAAAAGAGAATAGAAACAAACAATGATACATCGTATTAAATAACATAATACTAAACAAGGTGTCTGCCAATATTATAAGAAGGATTTCCATGACTTTTCCCTGTTTCTCTACCTGTTCTCCCTTTAAAGCTACAAAAGCTCAACTTATAATTATTTTAGAAAAATACTTTCAATTGCATATATATATATATATATATATATATATATATATATATATATATATATATATATATATATATATATATATATATATATATATATATATATATATATATATATATATATGTATATTATAACCTACATTCAAAGTATTATTATAACGCCATGAAAAAAATACAACTGACAGTTCATGAGAGTTTGCCACAGAGCCGAATTTCCTTGATTTCTACTTGATTTTTCAAAATTTCTCAACACAATTTCCCTAATTATTCCCTGATATTATTGCAGAAATCTGAATTCCCTGACTTTTCCCTGATCTGGCAGAAACCTTGCTTTAATGGGCCGGATTAATGAAAAATGTGCTCCATGTTTATTAGAAGCCCTACAGCATTAGTGGTGGATTACCCATTATGCAAACTAGACAGTTATTTAAGGCCCGTATAGCATATAGACCTTAAATATTAGCGTAAATAAAATTTTTAAAATAATTTTAATAGTGTTAATATTATTATACATTTATTTTTGTAAACAAAAAAAAATTATAGTTTCTTTTTTAATTTACTTACTGAAAGAAGGTCCTCTATTAACAATATTACATCTAACAATATAAAATTTATTCGTACATATTTTTTTGTAGTATGAATTAGGCTCTAAAAGAATAATTGTGCTAAGATCCTAAATGACTTAATCCGCCTTAACCCGACTTAAATCCATCACATTTGATGACAACTAATAGAGCACTTTTTAGAATTTAAGGGTCAAAATAACAAGGTAAAACTTGCAAATACTTAAAGATGTACTTACTAATTATAGCAGAAAATAATATTGGGCACTTTTCACAAAATGAGATTTTCTGAGAACTGCCTTTTATATTAAAGTGGCTAGAAGCCTCGTCACTCATCACTTTTTTCATAACATTGTATGTAATATCTATTGTAGATTTTCCACCCACATTACATAATGATTCTACCTGCAAAAAAAGAAAAAAGACTTAACTATAAAAATGATACAAAATGTAAGGAGAAAAAATTAATTTAAGTGGAAAACTAAAAACAATAATGTATAATTTCTCACTGCAGAATCCTTTCTTTTACTATCAGCTGAAAGAAAAACTTCCAGATCCAAGATTTCATCAAATTGCAGTTTTGATAGATGTAACGGTTTGACTAAAGTTTTTAAATCATTCTGCTTAAATGAGGCTTTAAAGTCATTGAAGTTTTTTTCTAGACGTGCTATTGCTGCTAACATTGTTCGTTTAAAAGCTTTGCAGAAATTAAGATAAATATAATTCCAACTATGTTAATTTACACAAGCTACAACATAATAAAATTACAAAAACAAAATTGCAAGATTTGAACAGAAAGAAATATTAATTCAACTTTTTCTTACTCTGATCAGAAATATAGTCTTTATCTGTTTCCCCAGCACTTTTACCATTTTCTTTATTAATTATTTTTTCACAAGTTAACTAAAAAAATAAGTTATCATTGAGTTTGCAGATAATCACAATAATAACCAACAAAAATATTTTTTAAAAGAATTCAATTACACAGGCAACTCAATATTATGAAATTCAACATTACTGACCCCTTCACTGGAACTAATTGTTGCTGAATTGTTGTATGAGTATACACAAGAAGAACCATTATCTATAATTTATCATTAATGCATTGTTAGTCCATCAGTATGAGAAAAAAACCAGAAAAAAACCAAACCTTTATGGAACTATTGTTACCGTCTAATTTTGGAAATGGTGTACTGGAAAAACTGACTTCATCGTCACTTGTTTTTATATAAGTCAATTTCTTTGTTTTCGATTTTCTTGCATTAGCTAATCTTTTTTCTATAAATGTTTAAATTGTTTTTACTTATTTTTTGTTGAATATTTTGATTAATTCAATAATACCAGGACTAGTTGTGGTTATCTTTACTAATACTAGTAACATTCAATAAAATCTGATTCAAACCAAAACATTTTCACACAAAAAAAAACACTCACCTGATTGCTTTTGATAGGCAAATGAATCTATTTGGTTGTATTTCCTTTTCCCCAATTGCGAATTGTGGTCAGATTCAGATTCTGAGCATGTTTTAATTGATTCACAATTTATGTAACTGTCTAAAAATGTACTAACATACATAAATAAAATTTATTTAAATCTAGTACTATTTTGATAAATAATGAATTGAATATATAAATATTATAAATACCTGCACTCCCAAAATGTTGAACTAAAACAAAAAACAACCAATTAATGCCAGGATTTTGGCAACGCTTTATGTACGGCTCTACATCTTTAGCATTGCAAGGCCAACGAATAAACTCTTGCCCTTCTTCTTCTTCAATCCAGTTTGTTGGCACCGTCCCATACTGAATTTTACTAGATCCATTTGCATGTGGTTCTATCCATTTTACTTTTGAAAACGCCATAATTAACTAAAAATTACCAAAATTGCAATATATTTACAAAAAAAACTTTATTTATGTAATAAATATTTAAAACCAATATTATGAAATTCAACATTACTGACCCCTTCACTGGAACTAATTGTTGCTGAATTGTTGTATGAGTATACACAAGAAGAACCATTATCTATAATTTATCATTAATGCATTGTTAGTCCATCAGTATGAGAAAAAAACCAGAAAAAAACCAAACCTTTATGGAACTATTGTTACCGTCTAATTTTGGAAATGGTGTACTGGAAAAACTGACTTCATCGTCACTTGTTTTTATATAAGTCAATTTCTTTGTTTTCGATTTTCTTGCATTAGCTAATCTTTTTTCTATAAATGTTTAAATTGTTTTTACTTATTTTTTGTTGAATATTTTGATTAATTCAATAATACCAGGACTAGTTGTGGTTATCTTTACTAATACTAGTAACATTCAATAAAATCTGATTCAAACCAAAACATTTTCACACAAAAAAAAACACTCACCTGATTGCTTTTGATAGGCAAATGAATCTATTTGGTTGTATTTCCTTTTCCCCAATTGCGAATTGTGGTCAGATTCAGATTCTGAGCATGTTTTAATTGATTCACAATTTATGTAACTGTCTAAAAATGTACTAACATACATAAATAAAATTTATTTAAATCTAGTACTATTTTGATAAATAATGAATTGAATATATAAATATTATAAATACCTGCACTCCCAAAATGTTGAACTAAAACAAAAAACAACCAATTAATGCCAGGATTTTGGCAACGCTTTATGTACGGCTCTACATCTTTAGCATTGCAAGGCCAACGAATAAACTCTTGCCCTTCTTCTTCTTCAATCCAGTTTGTTGGCACCGTCCCATACTGGATTTTACTAGATCCATTTGCATGTGGTTCTATCCATTTTACTTTTGAAAACGCCATAATTAACTAAAAATTACCAAAATTGCAATATATTTACAAAAAAAACTTTATTTATGTAATAAATATTTAAAACCAATATTATGAAATTCAACATTACTGACCCCTTCACTGGAACTAATTGTTGCTGAATTGTTGTATGAGTATACACAAGAAGAACCATTATCTATAATTTATCATTAATGCATTGTTAGTCCATCAGTATGAGAAAAAAACCAGAAAAAAACCAAACCTTTATGGAACTATTGTTACCGTCTAATTTTGGAAATGGTGTACTGGAAAAACTGACTTCATCGTCACTTGTTTTTATATAACTCAATTTCTTTGTTTTCGATTTTCTTGCATTAGCTAATCTTTTTTCTATAAATGTTTAAATTGTTTTTACTTATTTTTTGTTGAATATTTTGATTAATTCAATAATACCAGGACTAGTTGTGGTTATCTTTACTAATACTAGTAACATTCAATAAAATCTGATTCAAACCAAAACATTTTCACACAAAAAAAAACACTCACCTGATTGCTTTTGATAGGCAAATGAATCTATTTGGTTGTATTTCCTTTTCCCCAATTGCGAATTGTGGTCAGATTCAGATTCTGAGCATGTTTTAATTGATTCACAATTTATGTAACTGTCTAAAAATGTACTAACATACATAAATAAAATTTATTTAAATCTAGTACTATTTTGATAAATAATGAATTGAATATATAAATATTATAAATACCTGCACTCCCAAAATGTTGAACTAAAACAAAAAACAACCAATTAATGCCAGGATTTTGGCAACGCTTTATGTACGGCTCTACATCTTTAGCATTGCAAGGCCAACGAATAAACTCTTGCCCTTCTTCTTCTTCAATCCAGTTTGTTGGCACCGTCCCATACTGGATTTTACTAGATCCATTTGCATGTGGTTCTATCCATTTTACTTTTGAAAACGCCATAATTAACTAAAAATTACCAAAATTGCAATATATTTACAAAAAAAACTTTATTTATGTAATAAATATTTAAAACCAATTATCAACATACATTATATATAGATACACACACACAAACACACACAAAGAAATATATATTTATATATATTTATGTATATATATGTGTATATATATATATATATATATATATATATATAATATATATATATATATACACATATATATATATATACATATATTGCCTACGCCTAATATAAATATATATAAGAGTAATAATATGTGAATATTGATATTATTGGTTTTTTATATGTTTCTTATCATTTAAAAAGTTTATAAACTTCAAAAAAAATTAAGTAATTAAATCAATCAAACAGTTAAAGTCAATGAAAAAATTAAAATCAATCAAACAGTAAAAATGAATGAATCAATTAAATTAATGAAACAGTTAAAATATATTAAAAAATTAAAATCAATTAAATAGTTAAAATCAAATAAATAACTAAACAACGAAAATCAAACAATTAAACCATCGACTAGTCATTAACCTCAATAAAACCAATAAAATTAAAGCAAACATAAAAAAAAATTCATAGACAAATTTAAACAGGAAATTTTTATACACATTTATCTAGTGTCACAATGAACTAGAGTCATAAAAACAAAACCCCCTTTTGAAAATGGCATCATGATTGCTTTAGAAATAAGTTCTTCTTTTTTAAAAACAGATTCAGTATAATTATCAATCGTAGATATAAAAAATGTTGTATGTGGAAGACAAGTCTGGTTCATTAAAATAATTAGAGAAGTATTTTAATTTAATTAACCTTCCAAGGTACATATCTTCACTAAGCTTTTTGGTTATAATCGTGAACCCAGATTTTGCAATTAAACTTTTTTTCCCTGTACCAATTTTAGTTGTTTTTTCTTGAGTTGTTACATTTTCATTGAGTTGTAATTTTTCCTCTAATCTTTTGACAGCCTGAGATATAGCATATCTTCCTGAGTGCACTACTTTTTTTAAACATCCTAAGTAATTTTCAAATGGATAAGCAGATAGCTCGTTTAAAGTCTTATTATGATTTAAAACATCATCAGCTATATGTATTAGAGAATGGACATTATAAGATGAAAAAGTCTCTCCATAGAGTAAAATAGCCTCATTAGTAAACCAATAAAATAACTTTTTAGAAAATATAACATAACGTTTTTGTTTACTGAAAATATCAGAAAGAAGTATACGTGTAGCAATTGACAAAGCCAGAAACAAATTGTATTCTTTTCCAGAGATCTTACCTTTTAGTACAACTAATCCAGAATACAGAAGAAAGAAAGGAAACTCTACAGCCTTAAAATATAATAAGTCATCTAGTTTTCTTGCAGTACGTTGAAATTCTGAAGGGGTACTTTCTGCAATATGAAGCATCTCAGCTGATATTTGATCAATTATATTTTGTTTTAATCTATGGATTGATGATCTTCTCACCCAGTTGTGTAATAATCTTTTAACAACTCCTAAACATATCAGATGCATATAATCTAATACAAATCCACTTACCATAGGAAAGTTTAAAGAAAGTAAAGGAGAGAGTGGTTTGTGTTGATGTAAATCATAAACACCACATCTAAACTTAGCATCTGTTCTAATTGGTGCTGATGTACCCAATAGCCTTACACCTTGTGTATATATACCATGCTCTTCACATCTTTCACAAGAGTTGTATCCGCTATGACCTTGAATACACTTTAAAAATGCTCTTGCTGGAGCGTCACATATAAAAGCGGTTAAACAGACAGGAAAATAAATATTATTATGTTCATACCCTTTACTTAACAAATGTTTCATTTCTTCAATAAACTCTTGAAGGTAGCAAGAAATATTGTTAGGCTTAATTTCCCCATACCACAGAGCAACCAAATATGGAGAACTTTGATTAATTTTGATTAAAATTGGCCAAAACAATTTGCATTGACTTGAGTATACCCTCACTCCATCTATATTAACTGTCAGCTCTAAAACCTTCTTTACACCTTTTGTGCAATTTAAATAATGTATTAAAGCACTAGCTACTGTTAAATATATGAAATCGCCACCAGCTTTTTTAATAACATTCACATCATGTAACGTTTTCTTTAATGTTCTATTATCTCTTGGTAAACCTGGTATAACACTATTTAAATGAATTAAAAGCTCATTTAAGGGTGCAGTTTTAATGTTATGCTTTAAGGACCACGTTCGAAGAAAAGATATGGTGGTTACATCTTGATTTTCTATTTCCATATTTTCATTCACATTTGTTTCACTGCTGATTAGTTTTTCACTATCTGAGGAATCAATACCAAAGGGAACGCTGTCATCTTCATTTGATAAAATATAATTACAGGAAAGATTATTTATGCTGTCAGAGTCAGAGGAATAACAATTTATCAAATTTTGCTCAGCACAGACACTATTTTCAACTGATTGTTGATGATTCGTTTCAATTGGAATTTCCTTAATGTTCTTGTCTACTGTAAAATCTACTGAAGTTGAAGCTACTGAAGTTGAAGCTAGTGAAGAAACTTTTTTTTCTTTATAATCTTCTTTTAACAAATCTTTAATCAATCTATTGTTTTTGCGCCAGTCTCTCATGTAATGCTTGAAATAACTACTTCGAGTGTTTTTTTTAAACATAATCAGTCGTAAATTTATCAAAATATAGAAATTAAATAAAGATTTGCTACAATTTTAATAATTTTATCATGAAATAAATATGGTAAATATAATATATATATATATATATATATATATATATATATATATATATATATATATATATATATATATATATATATATATATATATATATGTATATATATATATATATATATATATATATATATATATGTATATATATATATATATATATATATATATATATATATATATATATATATATATATATATACATAATTTAAAAATAGTTATATGCTGTCTTTATATATATATATATATATATATATATATATATATATATATATATACATAATTTAAAAATAGTTATATGCTGTCTTTTTATATATATATATATATATATATATATATATATATATATATATATATATATATATATATATATATATATATATATATATATATACATATTTAAAAATAGTTATATGCTGTCTTTTTATTAAAATCAAAATTGATTTTAATAAAAAGACAGCATATAACTATTTTTAAATATATTAACGATATTTCGCTGACCTACCCGTTGTGCACATCACTGTTGATTCAACGTTGATCCGATGAAGTTGATTGGTGATCAACGGTGATCAACGAATTAATAGCATTCAACCAACGGTGTTAAAATCGCCGTTTACGACCGTTATCAAAACACTGTTGCTTTGTCGTGATTTCAACGCTGACAAAACGTTACTAAGCACGCTTATGCTTGCAAGCATAAGCGTGCAAGCATAAGCTTGCAAGCATAAGCGTGTAATGCAAGCATAAGCTTGAATTAAGCTTGCAAGCATAAGCTTGCATTAAGCTTGCAAGCATAAGCGTGCTTAGTAACGTTTTGTCAGCGTTGAAATCACGACAAAGCAACAGTGTTTGGATAACGGTCGTAAACGGCGATTTTAACACCGTTGGTTGAATGCTATTAATTCGTTGATCACCGTTGATCACCAATCAACTTCATCGGATCAACGTTGAATCAACAGTGATGTGCACAACGGGTAGGTCAGCGAAATATCGTTAATATATTTAAAAATAGTTATATGCTGTCTTTTTATTAAAATCAATTTTGATTTTAATAAAAAGACAGCATATAACTATTTTTAAATATGTATGTATATATATATATATATATATATATATATATATATATATATATATATATATATATATATATATATACATATATATATATATATATATATATATATATATATATATATATATATATATATATATATATATATATATATAAAAAGACAGCATATAACTATTTTTAAATTATGTATATATATATATATATATATATATATATATACATATATATATATATATATATATATATATATATATATATATATATATATATATATATATATATATATATATATATATATATATATATATATATATATATATATATATATATATATATATATATATATATATATATATATATATATATATATATAGTATAATATTAAAACTAGTAAATAAAAAAATAAAAAAAAATTAAGAGCTTGCTAATGGAAAGAACAAGAGTTTTTAATATAAGGTATACCTTAATTTTGAATTTTATCTGCTTCCAAAAGTGTCCGCGATTTTAATTTCATTATTATATCCATTCATTTTAATTCGAAACGTGTGCGTGATTCAAGTTCTATTTTTATTTCCATTAATTTTAATTTCAAATATGTGAGTGATTGACGAAAGTTTTTTTAACGTCAATTTAATTAATATGGTATTTTTTTTTTTTTTAAAGTTATCAAAAAATAGAAGGTTTATTAAATTAAAAAATTTTCTTATCGTCCGTTTAATTAATTTTTTTTTATTTCAGATTTATTAAACACCCACTATACAAGTAAGGTAAATTAAGAGTTTCATACAAGATAAATATAAAAAATCTTTTTTTTGTTTCAACGTGATCATCTTGGAATATGCTTTTCAAGAATGTCCTTGAAGATAGTTCTCTGCTCTTTGAAGTTCCAGTACTCAACTGCACATTTTAGAGATTGAAGATCCGTTTCAGGAATTAAATTTTTGAGGCCGACAATTTTTATTTTTTTTTTACTTTCCATTATTGTCTCCAGATTTAGTTCATGATTATTGCACAACCCTTTGATACTATCTAAAAAATGTTGTGGGGCTGTTTTGTTTTTTAGCTGCGACCTAATAATATCATATGTCATTTTATTGTTCATCAAACGAATAAATAAGTTTAGCTTGTTTTGTTGTATAATAATTGATATATCTTCAATAAAAAATAAGGTATGAATATAATTTTTGTTATGTTTTGAAACATCGAGGAGTGACTTAAGTGCATTTCTTCCAACTATATCAAGCTTTTGCATTAACATTTTTTTATGTTCACACAGCTCAAGACCATACGTTAGTGTTGGAACAGCTAAATATTTATATAACTGGACAATGGAGTTTGGGTGAGCAAAACGGATTCCTGATTGAATTGAGGTTTGGATTACCGTCCGGAAATTAGATATTCGGTGATCAATATTTGATTTATTAAGTGAGGAAAAAGGGGAACTTTTTGTATTCCATGTAAAACCTAGATGACTAAATTTATCATGAAGTTTTATTTGTTGGTGGGTGAGAGTTATTGTGCAGTTTTTAATTTGCTTTTTTCCGGTGAACAGGAACTCGGTTTTGTCAGCATTCAATTTTATGCAGTTTTTGTTTGTGTACATATTACATATATTAATAAGCTTTTGTAGGCCAGAGAGGGTGGAGCTAAGAAGTATAATGTCATCAGCATATGCTACAACACCCGTATAGTTTCCATTGATTGATGTACCTACGACGCTTTCGTTTTGTAAGGTTTCTAGTAGGTTTTGAGTATAAATGTTATATAAATGAGGCGAGAGAATAGATCCCTGTCTCACTCCTTGCGTTAGATAGAAAGGATATGATTTGCAATCTCGATAAGAAACAGAAGCACTGCTTTCATAGTATAATGACGATATGGTATTAACAATATACAGAGGGAGTTTTTTATCATTGTACAGTCTCTCAAACAGAATGTCCCAATTACAGCTGTCAAACGCTTTTTCAGCATCTAGGGAACAGAGATAGACAGGTGAGTTGTTGTTGTTGTAGTGTTTAATTGTTTCACTAATAACAAATTCACCGTGTAGGGTTGAGCTATTTTTAGTGAAACCGAATTGAAGAGGATGAGTTTCTTTTATTTCTGGACAAATTAGTAGGATAAGATAATTAGTAGGATATTTCGTAAAGATTGGAATGATGCTCTGTGCCACTCTGAATGATTTTCTGAGCCATTCTGTTAGTGCTTCACAGCTCGCATTCTTTAAATGTTCAGCTGATATTCCAAAGGCGTCTTTGGATTTGTTTAATTTAAGGCGAGAAATAACCGTTTTTAGATTTTCATCCGATATTATTGCCTCGTCGAATTTTGTGCAAGGTGGAATTTTTAAATTTGTAGAGGTATATGTGATTGCTTTAGAGTTTAATCGATTTTCAAAACTGTAGGCAAAATTCTTTCGTGATCGAGTCTTTATCTTTTTTATTATTTATGATATACAATTTCGATTTGCATCTTTTTTTATATTTCTGAAAGTTTTCCAAAAATATTTTGGATTTGTATTTTTTAACGTTTCGACTTTTATGTATTCTTTGTACAGGTTTTTATTTTGAGCATTTTTTACAGCATTGCGGAAATTTTTTCATGCCATCCGGAATCGAATAAAAATTTGCGAGTTTAAGTTTTTAACGAACCCAGTTTCCCGCCATTTTTTAAAATAAAATGAAAGAACATTTTTACTACGGGTGTCCACCAGGATTTTGAATACAATGACGGTGTTTTCATGGATAAATATTGATTAAGTGCCTCAGATGTCGACTTTGTAATAACAGTATATACTTTGATAAGTTCCTCATCGTAATTGTCATTCGTAAAATTGTGAAAATTAAAATTAGTATTTAAGCGATTGTTATATAATTGTAAATAATCATTGTTATTCCAGGCATAATTTGGAATGCTGTAGTTGTCTGAGTTTTTATGATTGTTTTCTTGAGAAGATTGTCCAATAATTCCAACTTCAATCGATACTGGTAAATGATCACTCATGTTTTGAGATAAAAAAGGAATTACGAAACAATTGGAATAAAGAAGAAACGTATACTTTAAGAAAGCTATGTGATCTATGTAAGATGCGTTTGGTAATGTATTATGGTGATACGTTATGTTAGGTCCAGAGCCTTTTGTTACGTCCACTAATTCAATTTTATTCGACTTAATAAAATTTGATAAAACTACGGAGTAGTTATTTTTCGTAGAGCTAGCTCTCTTTAATGAATCATATATTCCGTGAGGAAAAGATTGAAAGTCACCAAGGACAATAAAATCAGCAACGCCCTCGTAGTAATTACACCTAAAATTTTATCCAACTGACTCTTGTAATCCTCCAGTGACGTTTGATTATTGCGCAACGATGAAAGATAAATGGCAATAATAATATTTGTCTGATTTTTTTTAAGATTTATTGCAAAGATATGATGATCTTCATATAGAATAATAATGTTTTGAAACAAATGTTTCCGAATAAAAAAAGCGTTTCCGCCAAACGGTCGACCCTGCTTATGTTTGTTAGCCTGGTGGAAGAATGAAGAGTGGGTATTTTTATAGATATTTTTTATTATGAAATATTCTAAATTCGATAACCAGTGTTTACATATAAAAGTTATGCCATGAGAGAGAATTAACGATTTGGTATACTCAAAATTAGACTTTAGACCGTGGCAGTTGAAAGTACATAGATTAAATGTTGTTAGAAGTTTATCTTCCTTAAAAATATTCCCTAAATCCATTTTGATCTATGAAAATCTTCCTGGTTTCCGTTAGTTTCCAGATTTTTAGATATGTTAGTATATAAACGTTTTTTTCGGTATGGTTTAACTATTATATTGTTATCCCATAAAGCAGGGTTAAATATTATATTTTTTTCTGTGTTGTTTATGGCAACTTTGTATGATCTATTGTATTCATTTTCTTTATTCAATATAACAGATAAGGGGGAGATTCCTATTTCTGTTTCTAAATAGTTTTTAAAAAGCTCTTCATTGATTTGATTGCTTACCCCGCCGACAAAAATGTCAAATTTACGAACTATTCTTTCACCTGGAATTGTTTTATTTTCAGAAATTTTTGTTCCGAACACGGGCTCTGAAATTCTATGTTTTTTTACTAATGAACGATTTTGTGTTTTGTGATTAGATTTACTATTTCGGCACACTAAAGTAAAATTATTTTCATCATTGTTGGTGTTTAATGCGTGTAGTTGTTGATCGATATTGGTTTTTTTATTTATTTTTGTGGTCAACATGGCGCCGATTTGTGGTTGATTTGTGATTGAGTGAGTTTGAGCTACTACATTTGCGAATGTTTTTAATAGTTGTGGTTTGTATTCAACGTTTAAAAAAGACTTATGCGTTGTTTGAGTTAGATTTTTTGTAGCAGCTGGGTTGCTAATTTTATTTTCACATTGTGTATAACCATCGATCTTTAATTTCGGTATTTGACACGGCTGTAAGAGACTTATATCCAGTTCCGATTGTCTGTTTTCTATCTTAAGTTTTTCAATAAGTTTATTTTGGAATTTTT